TGGGTAGAGTGACCTCGGTGATCTAAATATTCTGTTCCATATTGATTTTTTATACTACTAAGTGACGGGGTAAAAAAGTCGTGTGTCTCGTTGTAAGCGACACGCCTGTCCCTAACAGTTGTAGTGCCACTCGGAGGTTTAAGTCACAAAGATCTGAGGGACATTGCCACTGCGCCCTGACACATAAGTTGACAAGTCCCATGTGCCTGTAATTTCACCAGCACCCTTACCCTTCAAAACCGGAACGCAGTAATATTCATATGCTTGGCGGCAGAAATAGGTAAGGTAGCAGTACTTCCCTCGACGAACTCTTTCACAAGGACCTCTACTGTTAATAAACTTTACCTTACCTATATTCTAAGCTGTAAATTTAAAAATTAAATATTCCCTCTACTGGTTGTGTGTGGTGAGCTGTGTCAGGATAAAGTGGCGTTCCGTTCTGCCTACCCCTCCTGTGGGACTGTTATGTATCTATGTAGGTAGGTACTGTAATTGGTACGGATTTTTTAGATCTGCGAAATTACGTAATTAATTGTAAATTGATTTATTTAGGCAGTTACGTTATTAAAAAAAGTCATTTTATTAATTACCTATCATAAACTTTTTTTATTTCGACTCACATTGAGAGGAGAACGCCTTATGTTGTTTAAGTTCTGATATGAACGGTGACTAAGTAGGTGAATGTAGCTCCTAAGAAATTTGTAGGCGTTCCGCATCATTGTTTAGATTTTTCGCCAACACCAAGTAAATGTTTTGTTAGTCTGTATATACCCCTTTTATTGTGTCTTATTTTATTTTAGATACCTACTAAGATAACGTCGCTACTTTTTTGTAATAATGAATACTTTTATAATATGTTTATTAGGAAGTATTGTAAAAATTGCACGTCTAACCGTTGCGTGAAAAAATCTTTAGAATAAATTAATGTAACTCACTTACATTGTAGATTCACAAATGCATACCGACTGCATCACAACTTAATTTTTTATTTTGTTATTATTCTTTAGACACACACCTTGAAGCTTCTCAGCTGGTCGTTTAGAAGCATAAACTTGAATTGTGAACGTCTTACTCTTTTTCGATTTGCGGATGATATCATAGTCTTACCAGAAAACTTGAAGGACTTAAAAGCTATGATTGGGGAGCTTTACGATGGGTCAATGATATGCAAAAACACAGATCACATCACTGAGCTTTGACATATCATGGAAAGAAATGAGGAATATGTACTTGAGACAAACTTTAGACCTTAATAAATCTGGGAAAGATAGCGAGATTAGGTGCCGCATCCATATAGACGAAGGTGCCTTTGGCAAATTGTCTAAAGTGTTCAAAGGCACCAATATACCCATCAACCTCAAATGTCGGACGTATGAGCAATGTGTCCTCCCAGTCATGGTCTACAGAGCTGAGTCATGAATGCTGACAAGACAGATAGTGCAAAAGCTACAGGTCATCCAGAGAGCTGTGGAAGGGATTATGATCTACTTTCTTTAAACTCGACGCAGATCAGAAACACTGAGTTCCGGACAAGAACGAAACTTATTGACATAGCCTGCAAAAAGAGGATATACTTGGCTTGGATATAATTAATGCATGTATGTAGAAGGGTACTTGAGTAGGAGACCGAGAGAAGAGTACAATAGCGTAGGTAGGCAGTGCGCTGGACGGACAACTTTATCAACATAGCAGGGAAAAATTGGATGAAGAATTCAAAGAAACTACACACTACACATAGCATTGGCTGGATAAAGGTTAAAAAGAAGAAAAGAAATACTAAGCTAACGGTAAAAAAAGCCTATTCACTCTAGCCTTTAATAACTCCAAATTGTAATATTTGGGAAACAGACGCAATTTGAAAATAGCTGTTGAAATACTACTGTTTAGCAGTTGGAATGTCGTTAATATGAATACGCACTAAAGTGACGCATTACATATTTGCCACACATCTTCCGCAGTCGGTTTCAAGCAAACCGGCAATAGGCAAAACTGAAGCGATACTTGGCAACAAACATCTTGCAGATAGATAGATGAGCTTTTAATGGTATTAGTTGTAATCCCACTAATGTGTTTAGTTCGGGATCGCGTTAACTAATGGATTAGGCGTATGTCTCTTAGTACACTTTCTGTTTCAGTAATTGTGATTTGATAGCTTTACACTTTTGACCTTTTGTTTGATTTACGCCTTTGTTGTTTCAGACATTTTATAATGTAAAACAAGTTTACGTCATCGATGTTATTGATCATATTATTCTACAAAATTGGAGGACCAAAATTTCCCTCTTTTTTTAAATAAGAAAGTTAATACTGACTACCTCCCATCAAGTGGATTGTATACTTGTTTGCCTCCAACTTTATATTTTAAAAAATCTTAAAATCAAATACTTTAAGTATCTTCTACGCAAAGCATTCCATTTGAGATGAAATATGTCTTAGAAGATGAAAGACCTGTTAACAACTCAAATAATAAATTACATACTGACACAATACCCACTTACACAACAAAGCATACAATTTGGCCCTAACAACTGTACAGTGGTAAATCCCCTGATTCATCTAATAATTCAATGCCTTCTACTTTATATTTAAAAAATGTAAGCGTACGTTCTGTAGTCTTGTAATGTTTCACAGAATACATGTAAATTCTTACGCTTGCTTTATCATCACCATCATCAGCCTATCGTAGTCCACTGCTGGACATAGGCCTTTACGCTTGCTTACTAAAGCAAAAATTAAACATTATTGCGGTATAGTAGATGCTGCCGGACACAAGCAACTTTCAAGAAGCTTCATTTTTCACTTTGATCGATTCGATGTGAGATCAAACTGAATAATGTAACAACCATCTAGTAGCAGACGGACTTAAACCCAGTTTCCCGATTTGGAGTTGTCTTTTAAAATCCTTGTCTGTTGTCCGTCGGTTATACCTACATTTCAACATTGACACTCGTTAAGGTGAGACCAAACTCCTGCCCCTGAACAGTAACTGCCTTTATAAATCAAGTCATCTGAGATCAGATTCCTCGATACACGGTTGTGGATTTATAACTGTATTTGTACAACAAATAACTGGTTTAACAATTCTCAAAAATTCTAGTTCTAAGAATTTCTTCAACAGTGATTCAGATGTGATGTGCTACATTCAACGGTTACAATACAAAATATTATTAAAAATTATTCCTAACATCCATTTTATGTTTTTTATTAACTGCATTGCATGTAAAACGATATTTATCCATTATTTAATAGCGAAGCGAGCGGATTGAAACTTACTGCCGCAGCTGCTAACGAAAAAATCTTAAATTCCTATAATCCCGCAAAGAACTCTTAATAATTATTACGCCATACAAGTGGCGGGAGTTGGGGGAACTTTCATAAATTCCGCAATATCGCCCGCTTCGCTTTCGTTTCGGTTTTATTTTTACTTCAAAACTGCGCTCACCGGGGCATTGGAAATATATTGTGGAAGTATGTTTAAACTTGTCGCACATTTTTTTTTGCTTTATTATTATTTTACTTCGGTATTGTTTTTCGATTTCTCTTTTATGTCTCTTTTAAAAATTGAATTTCGATATTTTAAAGGAAAGGAGTGTTTTCATATTTACAGTTTATTTGTTATTCGTTTCTACGATTGCAATAGCAGTGCTCGTAAGATCTTTGCGATTTAGAAAGTGAGTCTAAGCGACACTGCAACTCTATCGTTTCAAACCAACATATTGTAAGGCTCGGACACAATGTTCTAACTTCATTGACAAGAATTTTTCGATTGTTGTTAAGGGAAAATAAATTTATTAGTGTTTCAATACAAATTGCTTATTATGGTAAGTACAATTATAATGGCTGGATATAATTCTTTAATATCTAATGTACAAAGTAAGTTTAACTTCTATTAAAAATCTTTTTCTTATGCTATACCTTCAAAACGTACAAAAAATCGAAACATTCTTTTTCTAGCTTTTTCTCAAAATGTTATTTTTGATATTACATTGCTTTGATTTGACACGGCAGAACTGTCCCTTGGTCACGTGAGTTAGTAGCAATAGAGCTTCTTGTGAAAGAGTTTATCCAGAGAAGCACTTTTTTTTACACACACACAATATAACCCTGCACTACGGAAACCCTGTGTCGCGGGTGCTATGGACACATACATAGACTACCGCAAACTAACTCAAACTCACGAGAGACATAAATGTAGGCCATACAAATATTTCTCTCGGTCCGGGAATCGAACCTGGGACCCCTGGGTGGCAGTCCGGCATGGTAACCGTTCGGCCACGGAGGCAGAGTACTGCCACCTTACGCGTTTCTGCTGCTTCAAGCTGTAACGTGACCATTACTGCGTTCCGGTTTGTAAGGATACTAGTGAAATTATAGGCACATGGGACTTGTTAACTTCTGTCTCAGGCTGACGGGCGCAGTGGCAGTGTCCCTTAGATCTTTGTGATTTAAAGCTCTGAGTGGCGCTGCAACTAATATGGATAGGCGTGTCGCTTACTACCAGGCGCACTACTTGTTCGTCCCGTCATTTGGTATTATGAAAATAAAACAATAAAGTAAAAAAAACTTAGGAAATTAAATTATTTTTCCGAATGTAAATCGCGTATAGGGTAAAACTAGACAATACGCCCCACTTTTTTTTAGAGTTCAATGAAATCAAATTCTGGAGATATTCAATCAATATCTTTATTTTGGAACAATATTTGGTATTTTAGGAACTATTTGTGAATTATTTAAAGTAATACAGACCAATAAATGCCTTTTGGTGACAATTTTTTTTAAAGATGAGGTGGGGCGTTTTGTAAAATGACTGTTGGCTAATATGCCTCACTAGTATTACAAAATGCCCCAGTTTAAAAATCACATTTTCTTGCTATTCTTATGCTAAATGAACTACTTATAAAGGCAAAAATTCAGTCTTAATATTATTTTGTATCTAAAAATTCTAAAAATCTACCTATATTATACGAAAAGAAATTTAAAAAAAAATCAAAAATGCAAATGCTTCTTTCAAAATCACAGTTTTCTTACTGGCATTAATTTTGTACTACGATAAATCAGTCTTCAAACATTTAACATTAGGTATAGGACTATTTCTTGACAGTTACTCTTTTTGCTTTTCGACCACAGCGATTGCATAAAGGGTTATACATGGTACAAAACTCATGCAACCATGCAGAACACGACGTACACTGAATCCAGTCTTCTGACGATTTCGTATGAAAATAATTTTCGGTGCATTCCGCACATCTGTCTGTGTCTTCATCGGATATTTCATCCTCTGAAACAACTGATATATTTTCATCGTTACTATCAGATGAAGATGAGTATTCTATCTTCTTTTTTTTTTGTAGTTTTGAAGGATCTTTCTTTAATTTTTTTTGTCGACTTCTGTCTTTTTCTCCAATTGTTTTTTGCTTCTTTGTGCGACTTTTATGACTTTCATTTACTTTTCTCTTTCTGGCGCTCGTGTTTTGTCTTAGTTTCCCAGCTTCAACTTTCTGTTTCTTTTTATCTGCAATTAATTTTCTTTTTTGTATATGCTCATCAGAAGTTAGAATAACGGCTTTTTGCTTCTTTTTTGATAGTACGAATGGCAGTTTCGGTACAGGATGGATTTCACTTAAAATTTTGGAAGGCGTATCTTTGGAGTCGGCAGTTACGGTCTTTTCAGGTATTATTTGTTCAATCAGATCCATGTCATTTAATTCAATGCTATATGGTTCAGTAGGACGCTTCTGCGGACATTTTTTGGGGGTTGCTGGAGAAAGAGTCATTATTTGTATCGGTGAATGAATAGCACTTGTAGAATCATCTGACTTGTTTTTATTGGCTGTTTGTTCTTCAAAATTAGCTTCAAGTTCAGCAACGCGACAACGAAGCGGCGAATGTATTGTCGCTGTGGTGACCAAAATATTACCAGATCCTTGTTCACTGGGTGATGTGGGTGTTGACGCAGTAGTCATCAAAACGTACTCGGAACGATGTTGTTTTGAAGTTTCGGCCTCCAGTTCAAGGTTGATCTGCTGTGACGCTATGGGTAAATCTGGAAGTGTAGCCGAAGGACCTACAAGCAATGACATGGACTCTGTCGAAGTATCATCTTCATCATTAGGGGCGTTTTCGACCAAATCTTGCTCTCGCAAAGAATCTGACAAGGAGAAGTAGTGTTCAGGAATAGCACTAGGGTTGAAGGGATAGATTCCACACGACTTCAAGGCTGATACGCCATTTCGTATAGTAGCAGCTTTACCCCAAGCCCCGCCGATCAGTTTTGAAACGTCATATCGTGTCAGTTTCTTATCTTTATTTCTTACCATCCATGCTCTTGCTTCTTGAGCAAAGTACATCTTCAGAGGACGAAAAAATGCTCTATCTAGTGGTTGAAGGGCGTGTGTTGTGTGACTAGGGAGACACAACAATATCACGTTGTTTTCTTTGGCCACTTCCAGTAGTCGTATGTTATTACTGTGCGAGCTGTGTCCATCTAAAACCAACAGCGTCTTTCTTTGACTTTTGTGGCGTAGAAACACTTCTTCAAACCACTTCATGAAAAGATCTGAATTAATGTAGGAAGACTTTTTATTCATAAAAACTTGGGATCCAGGGGGGAGTCCCTCGGAAAACTGTGGCTTACTGTATGTTCCTTTGTATATCAGTACTGGAGGAATAAAGTTTCCTTGGGCATTGCAGCAAGCAATAACTGTGACATTTTCCCCTTTTTCACAGCTAGTGAGCGTGAAAACGTCTCTGGCTCCTTTTGTGGCTACCACTTTGCCAGCTTTATTGTTCACTTGGATGCCAGACTCGTCCATATTATATATGTCTTCAGGGTGGTTGGCAAAATCATTTTTTTCATAGAGTTTGGTTAGTAAATCGAAAAAGTATTTGACGTCCTCTCGATTAACTCCATAAGCCCGAGCAAGCGATAATCCTTCTGACTGTCTCGTACTTAATTCAGGGTTACGTTTCATAAATCCCATAAACCAGGTGTTGCCCGCAGATGCCGAACTTTCTAAAAATGGATTTTTTATTTCAAGTTTCTTTGCTATTTGAAATGCCATCTCTTTAACATCTTTTCTCTCTGGGGCAAATCCAACTTGTTCTAATTTTTTTATATGAGCAACTATCTTTTTTTCATGCTCGATGGAAAATACTGGGTTGCGACCAAGGGGAACCTTTAATTTTCCAGATAGAAGATGCCTTCTGAGTGTCCGAGATGGGATTTTGAAAGTTCTGGAAGCTTCATTGACACCCATTACTTTATTTCGAACTTTCTCCATAGCCTTTTCCAGGTCTTCCGACGCCCATGACGCTCTCAGAGTACTTCTTTGGTATTTTCGAGGCATTATCTGTAATAAATTTCTAAACTATGTAATTTTGGTTTAGTTGAAATGCTGGGGCGTATTATAAAACAACACGTGGGGCATATTGTAAATTTCGATTTTTAAAACGCCCCACCAACGTCAAGACGACACGTTCAAGGTTATAATTGTAGGTACAATAAGAAAACAAAGTAAATTTATCGTGTTTTACTATGATACCTGTCAATCCAATAAGAAATACAAAACAACTAATGTATGAGAAAAATGCTGAAACTCACCACAAATTGTTTTAATGCACAAAACCTTCGATTTGAATTTTTTCTCTTGTGATGTTCGAGAATCACGTGTGGACGCCAGCCATGTTGTCCGACGACTATTGTCTACTAGTGTGCGTTGTGTGCGTTTCGTAGCTGTCTTAATGTGCATATTATTGAAGTGGGGCGTTTTGTCAACTGGGGCGTATTACCTAGTTTTACCCTATTTGTTTTTTCAAACAAAACGACTTTTCGGGCCCGTTACAGGGCCCATGGTCACGGTTGACTGAGGTGGTACAGTCTTCAACCTATTTATAATACTTCACAATTTTGTACGGGAAGCTATTCAGTGCCCTTAGTGACACAAGAAGAAACAGCATTTTGTATACAAACATTTTACATGGTCGCTAGCAATAACTGCCACTGTAATCTCATGAAAGAGGTACTGTCTTTTCGTTTAGTTACTATTGTTTCAACTATTGTTTCAATCATTTCAACGTCTTTGCAAAATTCGTCATATAAACATAACCCCATTGCAAAGAAATCCTTACAGTTAAAAAATGTTATAACGCTATTTATACCTCCATTATAGAAGTATATACATTTAAAAGACATAACATTGTTTCAACAGACCACTATTTCGTTGTCGAATTGCAATTTATATTGTATTCAATTTTGTGTCGTCTATCATATCGTATGTCATATCGTATTCGTTATATTTGTTTGCTTCGTAATTCTGTACGCCAGCCCAATCTAGTTTCACTGTAAAGATAAATTTATTATAAGGCTTTACGCACATTATTCGACATGACACTACTTCGAAAACCCTCTGCTTCGACACATTGTACACCATTTTATTACAGCAATATTCGTAGGACTAATGTCAAATCAAATAAATTTGCGTCGAAATTTCATGTGACAGCGCAATTTACACCCCTTTTGAATCTGAATAAATATTAATTTGATATCAATCTTGTTAAAATTATCAAACGTTTCGTTACCCAGATGGTACTATCAAATAACTGTTAGCACAGCATTTGGGAACTAATAAACATATTTCTTCCTAAAACCGAGCTAACTAAACACACAGACAAGGATCTGAAATTTATGGCACAAATTAGCCTAGCGTCGACTGCAATAAATTTACATATGAAACTCATAAGTTAAAACCCTTTCGAAGTTAGTTTTCAACTAGATACGGCACTGATGATTTTAAATGAAATACATCCCTTAACTTCGTTTGCTGTTGAAATTATACATACGTTGCAAGATGTGGTTTCCGATTATATTTGCAGGTATTTTTTTAATATCGTATAATTTGAATAAATAAATATATTACATACACATTCGGCCTTTGTAACGATATCTTACTTATAGGGTAGTTGCTCGCCGTCGTCTGCGCTTGCGCCCGTACTGAATGACCCAGTTGTTAGGGCTTTGGCGCGCAGTCTCCGCCGGGTCACCGCTACGGATGGTCGTGATTAAGGACCGTGTACTGTTTCGAAACAAGTCTAGCAAAAATTCGACAGATATCCATTACTTAATATACGTGAGTCTCACTGTAGTTTTCTATTTAAAAGAGTTATTAAAAATTTACCTGTTACACAAAAGCGCGTCATTATAACTATGGCAAAGTCTATAAGCGTCGGTTAATTTCATAGCACTAAACTAAGATGCAATCTTTGAACAGGTCATTTTCTTAAAACAGATGCATTGCATTCATGGAGTCAAATCTGCACACATTTTACCGAAGCTATATGATAAAATCAAGCTCTTGTTAAGACATTTTCAGCAATATGTTGTTTTTTGTTCGAGCAGGTGCCTCGATGACTTGTGGGAAATACTATGAGCAGAACACCACTGCTTGACTGCTCGTGACCGCAGTAGAACGTCTGTATATTTTTGGTCTTTTTTCATTTTTAATAAATATTTGACGGCCTCCATGGTCGAGTGGCTTGCACATCAGTTTTCACGGGAATCGCTATCTCTTAGGTCCCGGGTTGGATCCCCGGCCGGGTCAGTGTAGAAACTCACTTTTATATATTGCCTCGGGTCCGGGTGTTTGTGGTACCGTCGTTGTTTCCGATTTTCATAACAGAAGTACTTTAGCTACTTACTTTGGGATCAGAGCAACGAATGTGATGTTGTCTAATATTTATTTATTTATTATATATTTATTTGTATCGGAGCATATTCTGTTATGTCAAAATCAAGTCAAAATCATAATACAGTATTCGACTTTGTAGCAAGTCCTGACTAAAACATTTTTTTTTTTAATCTGTCTATTCCAATCTCTCAAACATCCAAGAGAAAGTTTGAAGGTAATCAAGTGCTTACTGTATGAGCCATATTGCAATTTTGGTGTCGCTGGCGCATTTTCAGAAGCGCTGAACTTAATATTATGTTCCCTTAATAAGGTGTAGTTGACAAGTTATGCAATATGTACTGGAAGGTGCAGAAGCCCACGAGCTTGTAATATAATTTGGTCTCGGGTTATGAGATTTCATATTTATTCACACTTCAACGCCTATTACCTACTTTGTGTTCGTGATACGACACATTTTTACCCTTATTTGATCTAACGTCGTGTAGGTCTTCCTTTGCATCTTCTTCGATCCGTATCAAATCAACATCATCATCATATGATCAAACACATTAACTTGCCCGAGATTTAAAACTGGAGCGAAAAAAAAACTTAACAGTAAAGGTTATTATTATACAGCTTCTGCTTACTTGGATTACAAAAATCTAGGTTAGTAACCCATTTAACTCTGGTTCTGCAGGTTCTATATATAAAATAAATAGCGGACCTGTACAGTCTTTGATGTTTTTTTTTGCTGTAATTGTTGATAATATTAGAAACAAAGGTAAAAGCAATTAATATGGAGGTATTTGCACCCCATAGATGTTACACCCCAATATATTATTCCGATGTTCGGCCAGGCTATCTTCATCTCAGCAGTGGAATCATCATCAACGATGACACTATTTTTCCAAGGACAACCACACACACAACACTACCAGTGCGCTGTATTTTAGAGAGGCCTTTTTTAGCCCATAGACCTTTTTTCAAAATACCGGTTGATGTAATTATTTAAAGCGTTAGGGAAAAGCTCCTGTTTTTCCGGATAAAGTGTAAAAATATCCTACTAAAACTAAAACCGTCACAAAAAAATATTGTAAGATAATGAGGAATATGAGACCTCAATAATAATATACATATATCTTCTAAATATAGTGAATAAAAAATAAATAAAACGAATATTTAAAAATAATACAAATATTACTCTGAATGTAATAAAATTACGAGCTTGTTAAAACGTCGTAAAGGTCCAACTTAATAAGTGCTTCCGAACTATGTGTGCCATTTTTTTGTAAAAGGCCTTTTTAACACATCATGTGGTGCTACAGTGCAGGGTACAGGCCGTAGAGGCACTGCCACCGCGCAATTAACCCTGAGACATAAGTTGACAAGTCCCATGCACCTGTACCAGGGTTATTGCGAGTATCTACATCCGCATCCGCAGATAATCTGCATTCATCGATGGTGATATTCATTGCAGATGCTCAAGTAATGACTTGACCTAAAAGGTACGGTGGAATAATTTACGACGCTTAAGCTAGGCAGATTGATTGTTTTCATCAAGGTTGATTATTTTGTTATAAATGTCACAAAATCATTGAAATAATATTTTATTACAATACCAAAGAAAATAGAAAGTTTGTTCATGTAGATAGATTCAGTGAGGATGTACATTTGTCGCCTTTTTACCCTAGTGCGGGAGGGTAATGTTTTTCAAGTGTATGTATAATAATAATAATAACAACGGACACACTCAACATAATAATAACGGATGTATGCATGTATGCCCATGTCTTTTTCACGCTGTACAGCCTAAGGCTGCCTTTCCACCAGAGATGTGCGACGTAGCGAGGTGGTGTGCGAGGAAAAAATCCAGGCTCGCTTAACGCAGGTCCGGTGGAAAAAGGTTAGTAGAGCTAATACATCCAAAATTTCGAGAGATGGGTATGAGAGATGTGTGCGAGGAATGCGAGCGAGGTATGTATGCCAAATGATATAGGAAATTAGAGCTACTGAAAGTATGACACTAACTCTGACACTGACACATCGCCACCCCTCTCCCCACCACACCGTATCCCGCCCGCGCAGAGCTGAAAGGGCAGCCTAGCTGCATCGCACAGCTTTAGTGAAAAACATCACACCGTTTCACAGCGCCGCTACCATCCTCGCACCATCTCACTACCTTGCACATCTCTGGTGGAAAAGCAGTCTAAACGGCTTGATGGATTTTGACATAATGAGGTGTCGTTAGATTCGTCTTGGCTGTGGGATGAGGGGGGAATATTTTTTTTATCTTTCCAGCTAAATATGTATTTTTGCAGGCGGGTTTTTGTTTATAGAATTTTAGAATTTTTAGGCTTGTTTTTAATATATAAAATCAGTATTCACATCGCTGATGAGTAAAAATTCTGCATCAACAACAACCCTGTCATGTACTTTCACCAGCACCAACCCGCAACACAGTTAATGGTCACATTACTGCTTGGCGGCAGAAATAGGTAAAATAATAGGTGTTCTTTCGGATCAGCTGATTGTTTCTATTCTTCTCTAGCATATTTCAAATTTAACTGCCTCAGTAGCCGAACGGTTATCATGCCGTATGACTGCCACGCTGAGGTCCCAGGTTCGATTCCCGGGCCGGGAGAAATATTTGTATGGTCTACATTTGTTACTCTTGTGAGTTTGGTTGTAATTTGTGGTTGTCTATGTATATGTTCATGGCACCCGCGACACAGGGTTTCCCTAGTGTGGGGCTATGTTGAGTGTGTGCGTTATTATTATTATCTCCAGAGACCAAATGCTCGCTTTCAGTATTATGAATAGTTGCCGCGTACCTATTAAAAGTAGGTGTAAAATAGTCTCCAATAAAGCCCAAAACTTAAAAATACGTACACATAATTGACGAATAGACAAAAGTAATAAAGTAACTCGAGAAGCTTGTTTTCAAGCGTGGAACCAATAAAAAAGTTTTGTTGATATTTTACGATGCTTTTACCGTCAAAGAATTGAATATGGTTGTTTTTTTTTTCAATCCCCCTTTGTAATAACTTTTCACTGTTAAGGTAAACATAGCGTTGACTATAAAAAAGATTTATGTGACCATAACAACGTATGTAACGTTGCGATAT